TGTGGTCCCAGCTACTTGGGAGGTGGAGGCAGGAGACTTGCTTGAGCCCAGGAGGTGGAGGTTGCTGTGAGCTGTGATGCCACAGCACTCTACTCAGGGGGACAGCCTGAGTCTCTGTCTCCAAAAAAAAAAATAGAAAAACTAACAGGGCATTATGGTGTGTACCTATAGTCTAGCTACTTGGGAGCCTAAGGCAAGAGGGTTGCTTGAGCCCAAGAATTTGAGGTTGCTGTGAGTTATGATGCCATAGCACTCTACTCAGGGATGACAGAGTAAAAGCCTGTCTCAAAAAGAAAAAATAAAATAAGTTTAGTAGAGATTCAGGGAATGTTATGGGTACAGGATGTGATTGCCAGAAAAGTGAATGCTGCAGAAAAATGTGAATTTAGTGTTGTGAAGAGAGATCACCATGGGCTGGGGAAGCCTAGGGTATCTTCTTGAAGTGGGTAGGATATGTGCTAAGCAGAGAACAGAGGCATAAGTGGGTTTGAGATAGGTAAGTTGTAGCTGAAACTGTCTCCTTGCTGACCTCTTTCCTTTGGTGTGCCTTTAGACTTGCCCTCATCCCTACCAGCAGATGACTTCTGAACAATCATGTCTTTTTGATATTTTTACTTTGCAGTTTAATAATCTCCCGTTGGTCCAACTGTTCTGGATGAAGTCCAAACTTTTTTCTGCCTATAAGTTTCTTGAAAACTACTGCTATGCTTGGGGCTTTTGTTCATGGATTTTACTTCTTTCTGCATAGCCAGCCTAGAGGTTTGGTGATGGGGGGCTACTGCTGAGTTTGGGCCAATTGGCTGGGTACCTGATTTATGGAGCATACCAGTCAGTTGTCCCCAGAGGGCCCCTACATACCCTTCTCACCTTCCCCTCTTTTACCCCAGGTGCTGCTGCATGAAGAGGGGAGTGATTCTGGCTTTGTCAGTCTGTCTCGGCTAGGCCCATCTCTGAGGGACAAGGACCTGGAAATGGAGGAGCTGATGCTGCAGGATGAGACACTGCTGGGGACCATGCAGAGCTACATGGATGCCTCCCTCATCTCCCTCATTGAGGATTTTGGGAGTCTTGGAGAAGTGAGTTGGGGCTATACTTGGAGGTCTTCAGGTAGGAGCTTTGTATAGGAGGTTCTGGCTCAAGTCCTTCAACTTGTTTTAGGTATGGCTCTTTTCTCTCAGGACTTGGCTTCTGGGTCTTCAGCCTGAGCCATTAAAGTATATTTTTTATTTGTAGCTGGGAATTAGATTGTATGCTACTAGATTATGTCCTATGTGAGGATTCCCTGGCTAGCCTGGACTATTGTCTAAGGCTATTCCCCCTGTTAGGGCCAGAGGGTTCTGATCTCTATTTTTGAGTCCAATTCTAGTCTAGTCAAGGATTGTCCACTGAGCATCCCACCTTTTAAGTCTGAGAGGTCTCTGTTGACACTAGAAAGGTGATGGATGGATGGTAAATGATCTTTTTTTTTTTTTTTTTTTTGAGACAGAGCCTCAAGCTGTCCCCCTGGGTAGAGTGCTGTGGCATTACAGCTCACAGCAACCTCCAACTCCTGGGCTCAAGCGAGTCTCTTGCCTCCGCCTCCCAAGTAGCTGGGACCACAGGCGCCCGCCACAACGCCCGGCTATTTTTTGGTTGCAGCCGTCATTGTTGTTTGGCGGGTCTGGGCTGGGGATTCAAACCCGCCACCTTAGGTGTACGTGTCTGGCACCTTAGCCGGTTGAGCTATAGGCGCCGAGCCGGTAAATGATCTTGAAACTGATGCCTCCTGGTGTTCAGATTCTTCTCATTGCATAATTAAACTGGGGTGAGCCCTAGGAGACTGATTTTCTGGCATCTACTCCTTCTCAAAGGCCTGTTAAGTCATTAGATAATGTTGGTAGAACCTTCTCATTGTCTTTCTGGAACAGACCAGGTTATCTCTGGAGGAACAGAATGAAGTGTCACTGCTTACAGCTTTGACGGAGATCTTGGACAATGCAGATTCTGAGAACCTGTCTCCATTTGACAGCATTCCTGACTCAGAGCTGCTTGTATCACCTCGGGAAGGCTCTTCTGTGAGTATGGAACCAGGGAAAGGGGATGTGTGGTTTATTTAAAGAACAGATTATGTCTGTGGGCCTATTCACATAGGTCTGAAGCACAAACTGATCTCAGGTCTTTCTCTGTCTGTTAGCTGCACAAGCTACTCACACTTTCTCGGACACCTCCAGAACGTGATCTCATCACCCCAGTTGACTCACTGGGGCCCAACACAGGCAACAGTAGAGTGAGTGGGGTAAGCCTCACCTAGGGGGCCTCAGGAATTCCCAGTGGGGGAGAAGTATGTGGCAAAAAGTCTGGAACATACTTTGCCAAAGAAAATTCCTCCTGATGCTGCTTTTCTCTCTTGCAGGTTGAAATGTCTCTCACAGACCCCCCTTGGGACTTTTCCTCACCCTCTTTTCTGGAGACCTCTTCCCCCAAGCTTCCTAGTTGGAGACCCTCAAGATCAAGACCACGTTGGGGACAATCCCCTCCTCCCCAGCAGCGTAGTGATGGAGAAGAAGAGGAGGATGTGGCCCCCTTCAGTGGCCAGATTCTTGCTGGGGAGCTTGACAACTCTGTGAGCAGTATCTCAGACTTCCCCATGCATCTGGCCTGCCCTGAGGAAGAAGATAAACCAATAGCAGCAGAGATGGTAGTGCCAGCAACTGGTGATGAGAGCATCTCCTCCCTGAGTGAATTGGTGCGTGCCATGCACCCATATTGCCTGCCCAACCTTACCCACCTGACATCACTTGAGGATGAGCTTCAGGAGCAGCCAGATGATTTGACACTGCCTGAGGGTTGTGTGGTGCTAGAAATAGTGGGGCAGGCAGCCACAGCTGGTGATGATCTGGAGATCCCAGTTGTGGTACGACAGATGCCTCCTGGACCCCAGTCTGTGCTTCTGGATGACTCACTAGAGACTAGTTCTGCCTTACAGCTTCTCATGCCAGCGCTGGAGTCAGAGACAGACCCTGCCTTGCCCAAGGTAACCCTCTGCCCTGAAAAAGAGGGATCTTTACTGGACTCAGAGGAAAAACTGGACTCAGCCTGTTTGTTGGAGTCCAGGGAGGTCATAGAGCCAGTGGTGCCCAAGGGGCCTCAGAACTCACCTGCCAATGGAGGGATGGGTTCCCAGAGAGCTCGAAAGGGCAGGAGGAAGAAGAACAAGGAGCAGCCAGCAGCCTCTCTGGAAAGCTATACCAGGAGGTTGAGGTCATCCTCTCGTGGACAGTCTACTGTGGCTACAGAAGCAATTTCTCAGGCAGGCAACTTGCAGAAACAGCCTCAGGAACAACTTCAGAGAGAAATTGGGCCTTTACAGGGTAGGGGGAAGCCCCGGGCTTGGGCTCGGGCCTGGGCAGCTGCCTTGGAGAAGCCTGGCTCTGAGAACTTGGAGAGAAGTGGTGGACAAGGTAGTCCTAAAGAAAGTCCTCTAGATCTATACCCTAAGCTGGTGGACACTGTCCAAGCCAATCATGTCCCAGCCTGTCTCTCATTGGTTGACTCTGCCCAAGTGGGCTCTATGCCAGTTGACTGTGTTGCAGCTGATCCCACTGCAGTTGACTCTGTTTTACCTAACCCTGCACCTGTTGACCCTGTGTTGGTTGACCTTGCTTCCGTCAGCTCAGAGCTAATTGACCCTCTCCCAGCTGAACCAGTGCTGATTGACCCAGTCCTGGTTGACTCAGCAACAATTGACCCTGCAGTGGATGTTTCCATTTCAGATAACTTGCCACCAGTTGATGCTGCCCCATCTGATCCAGCACCACTTGACCCTGTTCCCAATGACCTGGCCCCAGTTGACCCTGTGTTAATTAAATCCAGACCAACTGATCCCAGACGAGGTGCAGTGTCATCAGCCCAAGGCAGTGCAGCCCCACAGCTCCTCTTAGATTCAGAGTCCTTGGACTCTCCAAAGGGCATCATCCCTGAAGTCAAGGAGGTTGTGAGTCCTCTGAAGGTAGAAAGTAGTGCTAATGTCACAGCCCAGGAAGCCAGACCTCGGCCTCTTAGCCTATCTGAGTACCGGCGACGAAGGCAGCAACGCCAAGCAGAGGCAGAAGAGAGGAGTCCCCAGCCTCCAGCTGGGAGGTGGCCAAGCCTTCCAGAGACCCCCACAGGGCTGGCAGACATCCCTTGTCTTGTCCTCCCACCAGCCCCAGCCAAGAAGACAGCTCTGCAGAGAAGCCCTGAAGCTCCCCTTGAGGCATCCTTTGGACCCATGGGTCCCAGTCCTGCTTCTCCTAGTCCTGAACCACCTGCAGACAAATCTATGGCTTCAATTCCCACTGAGCAGGTGCCATCCCAAGAAATGCTGCAGCTGGCAAGACCTTCCCCTCCTATACAGTCCATGTCCCCTGTTGCACCCATGCCTGCTGCTCTGCCTTTTCCTCCAGGTGGGCTGGGTATTCCCCCTAGTCTGCCTCCACCTCCCTTGCAGCCTCCTACTCTCCCAGTGTCTATGGGGCCAGTGCTCCCTGATCCCTATACTCACTATGTCCCTGTGCCACCCTGGCCTTGTTATCCCCCTGTGTCACCTTCTGGCTATCCTTGTCTGCCCCCGCCACCACCAGTGCCGATAGTGTCTGGTACTCCTGGTGCCTATGCTGTGCCCTCTACTTGCAGTGTGCGTTGGGTACCACCTCCTGCTCCAGTCTTACCTTATAGTTCCAGCTGTACCTTTGGGCCTTTGGGATGGGGCCCAGGGCCACAACATCCTCCGTTCTGGTCTGCTGTTCCTCCACCTCCTTTGCCTCCAACCTCTGTTGGGAGAGCTGTTCCTCCATCTAAGAAGGAGACCACTGGCATTCTAGCTGGCCCTCCTGAAAACGAACTTCCTGTGCCAATGGCTCCACCTCTCAGTCTTGGGCCAGCTGGCCACGGAGCTTCACAAGTAGAGCCTACCAAGGTGGAGGTCAAGCCAATGCCTACGTCTCCCCATGTGAAACATAAGGTATCCTCCCCAGTACAAAGCCCCCAGATGAAGACTCTGTCCTCTCTGGCTGCTGAAAGTGTGGCTGTTGAGGAACATGCATCAGAGAGGCCAAAGCCTGAGGCCCAGGAGAACAGGCCCCGGGAGAAGCCTCCCTCTCCTGCTACCAAGGCTGTTCCCACACCAAGGCAGAGTACTGTCCCCAAGCTGCCAGCTGTCCACCCAGCCCGTCTAAGGAAACTGTCCTTCCTGCCTACCCCACATTCCCATGGTCCTGAAGATGTGGTACAGGCTTTCATCAGTGAGATTGGTGAGTAGCACACAGTTCTTTTGGTCTCTAGAAGGGTAAAGGGTTGACTTAGGAGTATTCTCCATAGAACAAGATAACCAATCCTGATAAAGCTGGCCTTTGATTTCTTTGGAGGGTTCTTGAGAGGCAGAGCTTTAGGTTTGCTTAGACCTTTAGTGCTCTGTGCTGCTGCTGCCTAGGCTTGCTGAGTACAGTGGGCAAGGGGTAGTAGAAAGGGCAAAGTGAGGGGATTTGTGGGCTTTCTGGGACCTGTGTACTCAATTGATAGGGGCTGGTTTTCAATCCTATGTTGTGTTCCTCTACAGGAATTGAGGCATCAGACCTGTCCAGTCTGCTGGAGCAGTTTGAAAAATCAGAAGGTGAGGGAATTTGGGGTAGTTTTGCTCCAACTCTTTGTTTCTACTTCCTTTGGACCCCCTTAGTTACTTAAACTAGGGTGAAGGGGAAGGGCAGTCTTGGCCACTAGAGCAGCCCCTTAATTAGGATGAGGACACAAGATTCAACTGTGACAGTAATTTAATCAGTGGTAGTGGTCGTACAACGAGGCAAGTACTATAAAAGAGGAGACCTGGAGACCCAAATAGGTTTGGATTATTTGGGGACATTTTTCTTGAATGAAGTAGCTCTCAAGCCGTGCTTTGAAAGATAGCATTTCATAAAGAGAGTGTGTGTGTTGTGAATAAAGGCAGAAATAACAAGGCTGGGCATGGTAGCTCATGCATGTAATCCTAGCATTCTGGGTGTCGGAGGCAGGTGGATTGCCTTTGCTCACAGGTTTGAGACCAGCCTGAGCCTGAGTGAGTCCCCTGTCTCTAAAAATAGCCAGACATTGTGGCTGGCATCTGTAGTCCCAGCAACTAGGGAGGCTGAGGCAAGAGAATCACTTGAGCCCTAGAGTTTGAGGTTGCTATTAGCTATGATGCCATGGCACTCTATCAAGGGTGACATAGTAAGACTTTTGTCTCCCAGAAAGGGGGGGGGGGCAGAAGGAACACATGGGAAGGCTGGTATATGGTGCATTTGGAAGGGAATGAATAGCTGGACTTTCTCAGTACAGGGTGTGGGTCTTGGTGCTGTAGAGGATATGGGATCCTGTTCTCAAGTATCTAATGGGGTAAATGGGGAGAAAAGTCTGACTTCTGAGTTGGTAATAGGTATATCTAGGACAAGACGGGGCTGTGAGGCTAGGAGTTAAGTTAGGCAAGTTACATAGAAAAATGCCAGCCCTTCAACTGGCTAAGGCGCCAGCCACATACACCTAAGGTGGCGGGTTCGAATCCCCAGCCCGGACCCGCCAAACAACAATGATGGCTGCAACCAAAAAATAGCCGGGCGTTGTGGCGGGTGCCTGTGGTCCCAGCTACTTGGGAGGAGGAGGCAGGAGACTCGCTTGAGCCCAGGAGTTGAAGGTTGCTGTGAGCTGTAATGCCACAATTCCACGGCACTCTGCCCAGGGGGACAGCTTGAGGCTCTGTCTCAAAAAAAAAAAATGCCAGCCTTATAAATTTGAACTCTATCTCAAATTCAAGTGTGGAATGTGGGTGTTTCTGAGCAGAAAAGAGATATGATTAAAAATAGTACCTGGGCACCCACTGGCAGAAACTGGATCTCTTTGGGGAGAGCCCAACAGGGAATATGTAGGCTAAGTGGATTTTCCTCCTTTGAGTCTCAAAGCAAGCCCTCTGTGCCTCCTTAGTCTGGAACATGTGGTTGGGCTTTTAACTAGTATGGTTTCTTTGCAGCCAAAAAGGAGTGTCCTCCCCTGGCTCCTGCTGACAGCTTGGCTGTAGGAAACTCAGGGTAAGTATGGAGACATGTGAGCGAGTTACCCTACAGCTGTTGGTCAGCAGCCAGCTGGCACTTCAGGACCATCATCTGGATGCCTCTGTTGTAGGGACATTTAGTCAGCTCTAGAATCTTTCCCTGTTTCCCCATCTCCTGCTCTCCCCATTACTACTGGGCACTGTCTTGGGGGATAAGGTGGGAGGGTGTGTACTGCCCTCCAGCTAATTCCAATCAGGGATTCCGAATACCCCAGAGGTGTCTTTTATCTTCTTCTGACAAGTCATGCCTTTGGGGATTTCTTTTCTTCATTTAAAAAACTTTAAGCTTACTCAACGTGACGGTATAGCTTGAAAGTGGGGAAGATGTTAATGGCTATGACTCCCCTTGGTGGGTACAGGCATGCTGGACCTCTTTGCTCCCCAGTCTCCCAGCACTGAGAGGCCTTTTTTCATTTCTCATGTTCATGGTACCCCATCTATTCTGCCAAGCAGGTTACCCTCCATATTGGTTTCAGGTTGGTCTGGGCTGAGCAGGTGATGCTCTTGATGTGAAGGAGGTTGGGGTTATTAAAGGTTATGGCTAGTCTGCCTCCTGGAATTGGGCAGAGCTGAGTTGAGACCCAATCTACAGTTTAGTTATTAGGACCCTTTTTGTTCAGGAGGAGGAAGATGGGGGCATTTGTGCATCCCATTCTTCTATGCTGCACCCCTTTCTCTTTGCTTTGTGAGGAAAGCATATGTACAAGATATTGAGGAGGCAATGAATCAGGCTTTCCCTTTTCCCCCCCTGCCAGCAGCGTTGACACTCCCCAGGAGAAGAGGCCCCTAGACCGGTTACAAGCCCCAGAACTGGCCAACATAGCAGGTGGGTTCAGGGTGGGGAACACTGCCTATGGTTAGTTTATGCGGCAACATTTACAGTCTCCTCTGCATCAAGAGTGTGTAGGCATTGAGGATACAGAGATCTGATCTCTCTTAAAGGTACTCACAGCCTAGGGTATAGATGTGTAAACGAGTGAGCATGTTTAGTATCTGAGGTAGTATGTTAAAGAACCCTGTGATTTATAGGGAGATGTGAAGGGGGACAGTTAGGGAATGGTTGTGTAGAAGGTAATTTCCTAAGCTGAAGCTTGAGAAAATCACTGATATCACTGGTATCAGTCAGGTGTTAGATTTGAAGGACAGGGCATTCTAGGAAGATGGAGCAACTTGAGTGATCTGAAGAAACAAAACCAGCCACCTGTTTTGGGTAATTGCGAGTGGCTTGGTTCAACTGGAATATAGTGGGATCAGGGTGGTGGGCAGAGCTAAAGGAGGAGATAAAACTGGAATGGTGAATAGGAGGTCAGTTTATGGGTACTTTGAATACCATGTCAAGCTGTTTGGACTTTATCCAGTATTGAATCAATTGAAAAAGCTTTACCAGATTGGTTTTTGGGTGCTCTACCTAGCAGAAATGTAAAAGACAGGTAGATGCGCACGAAGCCAGAAGCAGGGAGACCATCAGAAGATGATTGTTTGAGTCCAGGCAAGATGCAGCCTAGCAGTCACGCATTGCAGGGTGGAAGAGGTGGGTCTAAGAATGGAGTGTTAGACCAGTTAGGAACTCATCACCAGCTAGGTTTGGTAGTCAGAAGATGAGGGATTCAGCTGGCTAGGTTTTTTTGCTGATCCCCTGGATGGGAAACATGGGGAAAGGAGCTTGGTGTACTTTTTGAGATAAGATGGGGTTCTCTGGAACCTATATACACAGTATTTGGAAGTGTAGAATCGGATCTCATCCTGCTATCTCCATCCTCCCTCCCACTCAACAGGGCTCACCCCTCCTGCTACCCCTCCCCACCAGTTATGGAAGCCCCTGGCTGCTGTCTCACTGCTGGCCAAAGCCAAATCTCCTAAGTCTACTGCCCAGGAGGGAACCCTGAAGCCTGAAGGAGTTACAGAGGCCAAACATCCAGCTGCAGTTCGCCTCCAAGAAGGGGTCCATGGCCCTAGTCCAGTCCATGTGGGCTCTGGGGACCATGACTATTGTGTCCGAAGCAGGACCCCCCCAAAAAAGATGCCTGCCCTAGTCATTCCAGAGGTGGGCTCCCGATGGAACGTCAAACGCCATCAGGACATCACCATCAAACCAGTCTTATCCCTGGGCCCAGCTGTCCCCTTGCCCCCATGCATACCTGCCTCCCAGGAACCACTTGATCACAGGACTAGCAATGAACAGGCAGATCCCTCAGCACCTTGCCTTGCCCCATCTGCTTTGCTGTCCCCTGAGGCCTCGCCCTGCCGGAATGACATGAACACTAGGACTCCCCTTGACCCTTCAGCCAAACAGCGATCAGTGCGCTGTTACCGAAAAGCCTGCAGGTCAGCTAGCCCCCCAAGCCGGGGTTGGCAGGGCCGCCGCGGCCACAGCAGCCGTTCTGTCAGCTCTGGGTCCAGCCGGACCAGCGAAGCATCTTCCTCTTCATCCTCATCGTCGTCTTCCTCATCCCGATCCCGGTCCAGGTCCCTCTCCCCCCCACACAAGAGGTGGCGAAGGTGAGCTCTGATGGTCCTTTAGGTCCTCTCCATTTAGGAAGTTTATGTACTCTTCTGCAGTTTACTTTTAAAGCTCTTACAGGTTGTCTTTGGTACTTTCAGGCACTAAGGCTTCTATTTCTGTCTTCGGCTTTTGTCTTCATTCCTTTTCTGGATTGTTGAAGTAGGCAAGCTGTGAGATGATAGCTTTTATATACCTCGTTGGAGTTTGGGGTGCAATCTCCTGAGCTCTTCTGCTTCCTTGAGACCTGCTTTAGGGAGACTGTTAGCATTTGATCTTGACCATGTTGATATTTTCACACATATCAGTCCTCATTCGTGGTATTTTCTTGGTGCTATGTGGGTTAGTGGGTTAATTGTTAATGGAAGATAGTTCTTCCCTTAATCATCTGTTGAGGAAAGTGTCTGGGGCAGTTTCTTTGGGTGTTAACTCTTCTATTTCCTGGCATCTTTTTTTTCAATAACAGACCCCAATTTTCCTACTTAATGAAGAATTCTTGGGTGTTGGCAATGGTATAAATCTTTAAAAATGGTTTCCAGTGGGCCCAGTGCAGTGGCTCACACCTATAAACCTAGCACTCTGGGAGGCCGAGGTGGGTAGATTGCTTGAGCTCACAGGTTCAAGACCAGCCTGAGCCAGAGCGAGACCCTGCCTCTAAATATAGCCGGGCATTGTGGCAGATGCCTGTAGTCCCAGCAACTCATGAGGTTGAGGCAAGAGATCGCTTGAGCCCCAGAGTTTGAGGTTGCCATGAGCTATGATGCCATGGTACTCCACTGAGGACGAGAAAGTGAGATTCTGTCTCAAAAAAAATAATGCCTCGGTGCCTGTGGCTCAAGCGGCTAAGGCGCCAGCCACGTACACCTAAGGTGGCGGGTTCGAATCTCCAGCCTGGGCCCGCCAAACAACAATGATGGCTGCAACCAAAAAAAAAAAAAAAAAAATGGCCAGGTGTTGTGGCGGGCGCCTGTAGTCCCAGCTACTTGGGAGGCTGAGGCAGGAGACTCGCTTGAGCCCAGGAGTTGGAGGTTGCTGTGAGCTGTAATGCCATGGCACTCTACCCAGGGGGATAGCTTGAGGCTCTGTCTCAAAAAAATAAAAATAAAAATAAAATAAATAAATAGAAATGCCTTCTGCTGTTGACCTAGCACAGTCACCTCCTGTTATGCCATGATCACAGTATTCTATGAGACTTGGTAGGGGCGCAGTAATAACCTAGAGATCTAGGCCTGGCCCCACACTACAGATAACTAGTTGTGATAACTAGTTGTGAGACATAGGGCCCAGGCCTTTATCTCCCTGAGTATCTCTTTTTCTTCTTTCTGATCTGTTAAGTGTTTTTCTTTTTCTTTCTTTCTTTTTTTTTTTTTTTAAGAAACAGTTTCACTTTATCGCCCTTGATAGAGTGCAGTGGTGTCACAGCTCACAGCAACCTCCAACTCCAGGCCTTAGGTGATTGTCTTGCCTCAGCCTCCTGAGTAGCTGGGACTACAGGCGCCTGCCACAAAGCCTGGCTATTTTTTGTTGCAGTTTGGCTGGGGCCAGGTTCAAACTCAACACCCTTGGTATATGGGGCTGGCACCCTACCCACTGAGCCACAGGCACTGCCCCATTAAGTGTTTTTCAATTTTCTTATGGTTAGAATAGTATTTTTCAGGCCAGGAGTGGTGGCTCATGCCTGTAGTCCCAGTACTTGGGAGGCTGAGGCAGGTGTATTGCTTGAGTTCAAAAGTTCAGAGACCAACCAGTGAGCCAGAGTGAGTTCTTGTCTCTAAAAATAGCTAGGCATTGTGGCGGGTACCTGTAGTCCCAGCTACTTGGGAGGCTGAGGCAAGACAATCACTTGAGCCTAGGAGTTTGAGGTTGCTGTGAGCTATGACGTTACAGCACTCTATACCAAGGTATGAGAAAGTGAAACTGTCTCAAAAAAAAAAAAGAAAGAAATAATATGTTTCAATTTTTAATTGCACAATTGAAAATAAATATGATCTTTACCAAAATAGTCCAAAACAATCCAGATACATCTTAAAAGTTCCACAAAGTGGAACCTCAGTTCATCTGTGAAGAAAAATTGTTCTTACAGAGCACCTATGCTCTGCTTTATCTTTGGCCCTCAGCTGCTGCTGCTGCTGCTGCGTTTTTTTGTTTTTTTTTTGAGACAAGAGCCTCAAGCTGTCACCCTGGGTAGAGTGCTGTGGCATCACAGCTCACAGCAACCTCCAACTCCTGGGCTCAAGCGAGTCTCCTGCCTCAGCCTCCCAAGCAGCTGGGACCACAGGCGCCCGCCACAATGCCCAGCTATTTTTTGGTTGCAGCTGTCATTCGGTAGATTCGAACCCACCACCTTGGGTGTATGTGGCTGGCACCTTAGCTACTTGAGCCACAGGCGCCGAGCCAGGCCCTCAGCTTCTTAACAGAGAGGTAGGGCTGGGGCCTGGATAAGTTAAATGGGATATACCTGCACTACTACCAGCATTCCTGCATGTGCTTTTATTCACCAGGTCCAGCTGCAGTTCCTCCGGACGTTCTCGAAGATGCTCTTCCTCTTCTTCATCCTCATCGTCGTCTTCATCTTCCTCATCCTCACCATCCAGTTCCCGAAGCCGTTCTCGCTCCCCATCACCCCGCAGGAGAAGTGACAGGAGGCGGAGGTGAGCACATGTTCAGGGAAGCAATCCCTGAGAGTTCTGAGGCTTGCATTGTCTTTCATTGGGGACTGATGACACCTTCTCTTATCAGGTACAGTTCTTACCGTTCACATGACCATTACCAAAGGCAGAGAGTACTACAGAAGGAGCGTGCAATAGTGAGTGGAGGGACAGGTCATGGGAGGAAGGGGCTTACCTCTGAGCAATGGGCTCAGAGAACTGTCAATAGCTGCATATAACGTATGTCAATTTTCTTTCATTTCCAATACAGGAAGAGAGAAGGGTAGTCTTTATTGGGAAGATACCTGGGCGCATGACTCGTTCAGAGCTGAAACAGAGGTTCTCAGTTTTTGGAGAAATTGAGGAATGCACCATCCACTTCCGTGTCCAGGGGTAAGCTTGGGCACGAAGGGCAGGATGTCTGTTCCCATTCATCTGCCTTGATGTTTCTCTGTCTTTACTCTTTGCTCTGGTGTGCTGGCCAATATGGGGCACCTTCATTTCTTTAGAGGGTTGGCTTTTTGGGAATGAGAAGAAACACCTCCATACCTAGAGTGCTGTGCCTTCTCCATGGCATGTCCCCAGATGGCCACCCTAGCCCCTCCTTCATCATCTCCCACCCTTCTCACCAGTGACAACTACGGCTTCGTCACTTACCGATATGCTGAGGAGGCATTTGCAGCTATTGAGAGCGGCCACAAACTGCGGCAAGCAGATGAGCAGCCCTTTGATCTTTGCTTTGGGGGCCGCAGGCAGTTCTGCAAGAGAAGTTATTCTGATCTTGGTGAGTGCAGTAAGGGACTGAGGCTTTGGCATACATCATCCCGTTCCCAGAAAGGTTCCCAGCCTTTAGAGAGTGGGGTTAGGCAGGATTATCACAATACACAGAGAGCCCAAAGGATGGGATGAAAGGAGAAATGGAGGCTCTGACTTAAAAATCACAGCAATTTTATCTCCATCCATTATATTGGAATGGAAGATGGCTAGCTATTTGAGGTTCCTGTGCTTAGAAAATGTAGTCAGAGATCTTGACATTTCCTCTCTTTACCTTTTTAGATTCCAACCGGGAAGACTTTGACCCTGCACCTGTAAAGAGCAAATTTGATTCTCTTGATTTTGACACATTGTTGAAACAGGCCCAGAAGAACCTCCGGAGGTAACCTTGGGCCCTCCCCCCACCCCTTTTTTCTTTGGAGGTGCCTAACCTCCTCCACCCCACTCCCCCACTGTAGGGGAGAGAGCTGCTAGTGAGGATATGACTGTTTTATAAAGAAATGGAAAAAAGTGAAATAAAAAATGTTAAATCAGATTTTTTTAAAGGGGTATTTGTTTTTTATAACAGGTATTGAAACAAGTTAACTTGCATTCCTATGTGAGATGGGTGGAGCTGAGGAGTTCACCCAATGTTTGAAACATCTAAGTCACTATGCAGACTAATAAACATAAACTCCAGAGAACTTTCAAATGCTGTTGTACTTCTTTCTATGGGGCTAGTGCCAAATGCATTCACTTTTCACATCTGAATACAACTAGGGACATGCCTCCCTCTGGTCAGGTACAAAATCATACTGGATTTGAAAGTTGGCTTCTCATGTATATTGTCTGTGAAATTAGTCATCATCTAGGGTAGTGCTTTTCAAACATGAAAGGGCACTCAAATCATGTGGAGATCTTTTCCATTTTTATTTTTGTTTTTTTGAGACAGTCTCACTTTGTCACCCTTGGTAGAGTGCTATGGTGTCATAGCTCACAGCAACCTCCGACTTTGGGCTCAAGTGATTCTTTTGCCTCAGCCTCCCAAGTAATTGGGACTACAGGCACCCACCACAATGCCCAGCTATTTCTAGAAGGGAGGTCTCTATCTGGCTCAGGCTGATCTTGAACCAGTGAGCACAGGCAATCCATCCACCTCAGCCTCCCAGAGTACTTGGATTACAGGCATGAACCACCCTCCTCAGCTGTGGAGATCTTTTAGAAGGTGGATTCTGACTTCCCAGGTTGGGGCCTGAGATTCTGCATCTCAGGCAAGGGGATGATGATACTGGTCCAGGAAGAGATTTAGATACCAAGAACCTTGAGGAAGCTCACACTTCCTTAAGGGTGACGGGAAGAGGAAAAAGAAAAGTTCTGAATAAAGGTTTCCTAAACTGGGGCTTGTGTACATTCAGTATTTGATTTGTGTTCACTATTTTAACTTGAGGATGATACTTGGCAAATGCTTGAATGTTTTAAAGAATGCATGCACTTGGATAGAACTCTGGGGAAGAGGGACCTATAGGAGTTATATACAGGAGAAAGACAATGGAAATGAGTCAAGTAGTGGGTAGGATAAGGTGACCAGACGTCCTGCTTTTGGTGGGACAGTCCCAATTCTTAACAATTTGTCCCGCGTCCCATGGCGTTTTAAAAAAGTCCCGATTTTTGGAAAATGCACGACAAGCTAGGGAATGGCGGGACAATGGGAAGGGAATATACCGTTTTCAGCTGCTGAAAAGGTTAATGTAACTCCATTTGGGAATGAAGAGGTTAATGTAATTTCATTTGGAAATGAAAAGGCTAATATAAACTCCCTACTTCCCTCCTGGGCAAGGTTGCCCAGGTGGACTGGGCCCTACTCCCTTGAGCCACAGGCTCTGCCCTATACATAATTTATTTAATGTATTATATTTGTAAATTGTACTTATGTTGAAATTAAAAATATGTATATTACAATACTATTTTTGCGTTCTATGAAAATTTTTGTTGCTCCATATAGACCAAATTTTTTTTTTTTTTTTTT